CCATTGAATTCAATGGGACTACTCGTGAAAGTAAGTACTTCTCTTTCAGGCTGCATAATTGGGCTCTTTATTAGGAAACAGTTTTCCTTCCCCCCTTTTTTTTTTAATTTAAAGTTTCTCCCTGGCCAGCTGATACATTTACTTGAGAACCGTGGGCCAGCTCCTCGGCTGAAATAAATCAGTGTAGTTCCATTGTGGATTTAAGTTGATGTACACCAGCTGAGACGCTGGCTCACTATTCAGAATACGGTTTTATTCAACATGTTAAGAGTAAGTATACTGTCGATAGGGGGAAAATGGTTATTGTACCATTTTAAATGTCTTTGTTTTTATTTTGTAGATGATGGTTTCTCTCCCAAATATTTGGTGCACTGGTGAAAATAGCTGACTCTAGCTTGCAGAAACCATTTAATATGCAAAATATTTTGATCCACCTACCATTCCCGGGCGAGCTTCTTATAAGCCTTTTTAATGTCAGCCTGGCTGGACGTCCTGCTGACCCCAAGGATTCTGTATGGGTCAAAATCCACTGCAGACAAAATTTGCAGGACCAAGACCAGAACCAGGACCACAACCAACGAGATGCTTAACTTTTTCAGTTCCATTTCTCTTCCTTTAGGCAACCTGGACAGGAGAATTTCCATATGCATAAGACAGAAGTGTAAAACTAGAGATTGATGCAAAATCCAGGAACCCCTATATTTAGTCCTGGACCACTGGCAAAGAACTGAATAACCAAAGGCCCCATCTCCTTCAAACAACCAGGACCAGAATTCATGCCTACTAAAAAGGTAGGATTTGGGAGAGAGACTGTTCCAGCCCTTGCATGTCATGAAATATCACATCATTCTAATTATAATTTTGCTTCACTTACAGTTCAACATTTTAGTAGCTTCTATTCTAGAGCAAGAGACCTGTGCTTTACACCTACTAGCAGTTCACTACCAGTTTTCAGGTATTAAAAAAGCAGTAAACTGTAGCTGTTTCTGCCATTCCATCATGTATTAATTTATCAGGACTAGCAGATACTTAAGGGACCAGTACAGGGGACTGGACTCAATGACCTCTCGAGGTCCCTTCCAGTCCTATAATCTATGATTCTATGATTCTATGAAATGCTAGTACTAGACTAGCAATCTGAAACCAAAGAACTCCGGTGGCTGACAGTTACATGGGACCATGTTAGTTGAAGGGACAATGCCACTGTGAACTCTAGTCAGTTCCAAAAAAGTGAGTTAAAATATTTTCAGGTACTACATCTGCCCCTCAGCCCCCAATGTTGTGTTTTTAAAACCGTATTTTCCAAAAATTGTTTCTCTCTCCTGTTCACGTCTAAGATCCACAGAATCACCTCCTGAAACTAAATGCACAACGACAACAGGTTGACTACTTAAAATGCTGCCAACCACACAATTAAATAAAATGAAAGAATACAAAAATCATTTTAATAATCTGTCACTTATCTTGAGCACTGCTTGCAACAGTTAAGTGAAACCATTTCTCGCAGATGGGTGAGATTTTTAAACGGATCATGTAAATACATTTATTCACAGATGTTATTTATAACAGATTATTAATAGTGGAGGAGATTTTTTGTAATCCAGTTTTTCACTAGTTACGCTCTTTACTTATAGTCTGCATAGTTCACATCTTGGGCAATGGAAATCAATGCAGTCAGTTTTACCATCGGGTTCTTAGAGCTACAATCTTTGGTCTCCAGACACTCTCGAGCAGGGGCCGTTTTTTTGTTTAAAGAGAAATCCTAGCACTGGACATTTAACAGTAAAAATCCCCCCCCCCTTCCAAAGTCACAAAGAATATTTCTCAGGCTTTATGAAACCTTATTGTTATGAAATGTAAATTTGGAGGCACATGTGTCGGACAGAGCAGCTGCTGACCACTGGGGCTCCCCAGGCAGGGGGCTGCGGTGGGGGGGAAGAGAAAGGAGCCAAGGGACCGGGAACAGGGCACCCGATCCGTCTCTGCGCCCCCTGGCACTGGGGGAGGGGAGCGCCCCGTGCTACTCCCTAGCAGGGCCCTGCCAGCGCCCCCCGCAGCTGCCCCCAGGCCGCCTCCCACCAGGCAGCTCTGGGCTCACCCCCCAGCCGGGCGCCCCGGCTGTCACCCCCACTGCCCCTTGCCAGGCCCCAGGCGGCGCTCGGAGCGCGAGCCCCGGACCGGGCGGGACGGCCCGCGGGAAGGGTCAGCCCTACATCCCATGGCCCTTAAAGGGCCAGCGCCCACCCCGGGCTGGGACCCCTTCGGGGGGGGGCGATACCCACCCTGCGCTCCGGGCGCCCGGTCCCCGCTTCCGGCTTCGCCGCCCCGCCTCTCGCCGTCACCATAGGGACGGCGCACTGCTCACTTCCGCTCTCTGCTCCACCCGGTCATAGAGACGGGACACGGACCATAGAGCAGCGCGGCGCTCCGAGGGCTAGCGAGTACCATTCGGCGGAGCATGACGGGATACAAGCGAAGAAGCCCGGGGTGGGGGATGCCTTGTTGTAACCACCTTTCCTGTCGAGGCAGGGGGATCATGACGTGATGTCCTGGGGAGGCATTGGCCCATGTCATCACAGCACCGTGACCTGGGGCAGGACGACATGTCATGAGGCCAGTCTGCGTCACCATGTGACGTCATGGCATGATGTCAGCCCATGTCACCGTCACCATGGCGCTGCATCATGATGTGATAGTGTGTCTTTGCAGGGGTGCTGGAACAGTGTGTAGTGGGGGTGCTGAGAGCCATTGAAGCAAACTGTAAACCCTGTATATAATGGAAACCACTTCAAGCCAGGGGGTGCAAGAGCACCCCCCGTAAGCCTGGTTCCAGCACCTGTGTGTCCTGGTGTCACCACGGTGCTGCTGTGTCACGACATGATGTTGCGTCATGGTGTCAGCCCATGTCACCGTGGTGCTGCGTCACCCTGTGGCTTCTTGGCCTCACAATATGTTTTTTTCTCTGGCTCTGCTGCTCACCTCCGTCTCCCCTGCTCCTCTGTTGACGTGGTAACTGAATTAGGGAGATTGACCCACTAGATGTATAAAATGCCAACCCTATTCAAAATAGCCTACATTTCTTTGCTTCCACACAATTATATAGGGCTATTAGTGCGACCTCAAAGACCGCACGCTCAGGTCCAAATTCTGCTCTCCGTTGTACCAGTGTAAAACCAGTTTTCAGCAGAGTTACTCCAAATTCACACCAACGTGAGAGTAAAGTTTGTGGCTATACACGGAAATTGTTCTTCCATGCCGGAATGACAGCACAATGACAGACTAATAGTCCATCTAGTCTGGTATCTTGACCCATGCCAGGATGTGGACACACATATCCTGCTGTTAGCTGTGCAGTGCTGCCTGATGGGGAAGAATTTAATTGTCTGGGGGGGGGGGGCATATAAAACTAGTATTGATAGTGGAAGGGCTACAGGATATTATAGAAAGGTGCAACAGGGGCTTCTAACCCCCTAGAAAGCAGATAGATTCTTGTAGGGCCCTATGGGCAGCCCTGGCTAGAGAGAAAGGGACGGTGCTGTGAAGGGAGCTGGTGGAGAAGGGGAAGGACGCGTGCAAATCCCTGGGGATCCGCAGGGGCTGGTGTTACACAGCCCTACACGTTAGGGATCAGGGCGGGCGCTATAGGAACCAGAGGGGAGGCCCCTATAGGAGGAGAGGCCTCAGGGAAAGGCGGGTCCTATAGACCGCCCCGAAGGGGGCCGGGCTGAGGGCCGTTCCCGGAAGCGGGCGGAGCATCTCGGCTGTCTCCTGGCTGCGGCTCCCCCCCGGGACCCACCCAAGGGGGCCCCCGGGCGGCGGGGATGGAGGAGGCGCAGCGGGCGCTGCTGCAGCGGAGCCGCCTGCGCCTGGTGGGGGAGCTGCAGGTGGCTCCGCTCTGGGACCTGCTGCTGCACAAGGGCGTCTTCACCCAGGACATGATCGAGGAGATCCAGGTGCCTCGTCCCCCGCCCCGGGACTGGATCTGGGGTGGGAGCTTGTGGCCGCCCCCCCACCCCACCCCGCCGCCGTCCTGCTTTCACCCCCCCCCTTGCCCAGGCTGCTTCCCCATGCCCTGGGGTAATTGCATCTTTAGCCCCCTCCATGGCTAGAGACTGCAGTGCAGAAGGCAGGGCAATGTCCCCCACATCCAGCCCCCCACATCCAGCCCCCCGGGGGTTTGCACGACCCCCTTAGGCTTGCTGGGGAACTTCTCCACTATCTCCTGAAATGAACCCCATTGTCAGGCCGCTGAGCTGCAGCCGGGGACCGTCTGCCCGGCTGTAAACAGCTGAACTTTAACAGCCCGTGGCAAATCAGAAGTGGCGGGGAGTTCCCTGGTCATTTCTGATCAGTCCGTTCAGGGTTATTGCGAGAGCCGAGGTCACAGAGCTGCTGTGAATTTAAGTTTTATGACTGTCAGCTGGAAGGACAACATTGGAATTAAAGCGGCATAACCCTAACCCTGGGGGTAAACATAGGGTGACCAGACAGCAAGTGTGAAAAATCAGGACGGGGTTGGGGGGTAATAGGAGCCTATATAAGAAAAAGACCCAAAAATCAAGACAGTCCCTATAAAATCAGGACATCTGGTCACCCTAGGTAAACAAGCCAAGAGAAGCTTTAAATGCTGGGTGTTAGTTTGTACAAAACCAAAACCAACAAAGTTATGATACAGTAGAACTTGCCCTATCATGTGGGAGGCAGCGTTATCCAGTGGTTGGAGTGGAGCACTGTGGATCAGGTGACCTGGGTTTTATACCTCACTGTACCACTAACTTGCTGTCTGACCTAGGGCAGCTCCTCTGTGCCTCAGTTTCCCTACCTATCAGGGATAATAGTACCTGGGCCTTAAAAAATTCACTGGGCCTCTACTAGACAGAAGCTTGAATTTGCTAGCCAGAGGCTGATGTGAAAGATGGGAGGGCCATCAATGAGTTGCCTGGCTATAGGCTAAAAAGACAACACCCTGATCAGTTTATTTCTGTTCACATCTGTAAAATCCCCCGTCCTTTCTTGTACTCATCACCATGCTGTTTATGAATTGCTGGACTGTAGACGTGCCATGCACATGGGATGCTAATGCTTTCTGTCTTCGTTTTGCTCCCGTATAGAGAGCAGGCACCCGAAGAGACCAAGCCAGGCAGTTGGTCACAGACCTTCAGACGCGAGGAAGACAAGCTTTTCCTGCATTCGTCTCAAGCTTGCGAGAAACTGGACAGAATGACCTTGCCGCTTTGCTGAGTGAAGGGGCCAAATTCCCACAGTTGCGTCCGCTTGATCTAAAACCAGTTGAAATTGGCTTACGTGGTGGAAAGGGTGATACCTGTAAGTATCAGGGGTGCTGCTGTTTTCATAATAGACAGCAAAATTGGATACAGCAGTTATAAACCCTGTTGCTGAGGAGGTACAGGAGGCTGGCTAACAGCTTGTGAAATCTGATAGCCCGGATGTCTTCCAGAATCATTGATTGTATAGATTATTCTGCACAGCCACTGGGAAAATATAATGCTATCCAATACCACTGAAAACTTTTAATTGGCAGCAATCTCCTAGTGCTGTGCTAATAACTTTAGAATGGCTGGGTTTTTTGTAGGTAATCTCGGGGGTGTCTCAAATCTGACCTCCAAGGACACAAACATTTCTCTTTTCTATTGGCGAGAGAGTGTGATCCAGCGATTAGAGAAGGGATTGGACATTGGCAGAGCTTACTTGCTGTGGGATTTTGGTCAAATCACAATTCCTCCATCTATAAAATGTGGGTAAAATCTCCTTACCTGTCAAAGGAGTTCTGAGATTTAATTACTGTAAAGCTAAAATGTGCTAAGATTCTTGGATGGAAGGGACTGTATAGCGTAGTATATTTTATTTGCATTTGATGTGTAACTTGTCTACCTATCCTGTTTTTAACTTATATATTCATATTTCTTGGATAGCTAGTTTCATTATCAACATTTTCTTTATTATTCCTAAGGATTTGTCTGCCCTTAAAATGTTACAGTGACACAGCTGCGCCACTGTAGGGCTTCAGTGTAGACACTGCTGTATTGATGGGAGAGGTTCTCCCTTGAGCATAGGTAATCCACCCCCCTGAGAGGCGATAGCTAGGTCGATGGAAGAATTCTTCCATCAATCTAGCGCTGTCTACACAGGGACTTAGGTTGGCTTAACTACGCCGCTCAGGGGTGTGGATTTTACACGCCGCTGAGTGACGTCGTTATGCCAGCCTATTTTCCTAGTGTAGACCAGGCCTTATAGAGAGAGTTCTATAAGTATTACTAATTGTTTTACCAAAAACATAAAGGCAGGATCCCTGCCCTGAAAAGTGTCTGCTCTCACTCAGAGAAGTCCAATACACAGGACAGCAGCAGAGAAGTTGCAAAGACATTGGGTACTGAGAAGATCAGCACAGTAAGGCCTTGAGAAAGGCAAAGGGTTTGAAGCAGGCGAGAGAGGGGTCTTGGAAGGTCATCCTGAGAATAAGTGGTGGCAGGAAAGAAGAAGCAAAACTGAAACTGGGAGGAGGGATGCAAGGATCACGTAGGACAGAGGACATGAAGGAGTGAGAATTTAGGGTGGGATTTAGGTAGGGTGGAGTGGAGAGAAGTCTTTTTATGAAGGGCATGGCCTTTTCAGGATGCTTTAATTATTTGGGTGGGGTGGGGTGGGGAAGGGGGAGCGGTTGCTATCTCTAAGAGCGCAAGCCAGGATGAAAGGGGCAGGTGCCTTCTGTGTGATGGTGAGAACAGGTGTTACTGGGTGCTCGCAATTCCCGCCCACTGTTGAGTCTGGTTCTAGCCTCAGCTCCCACAGTTCTAATCAAAGACTCACAGGGGAAAAGTACAACTGCTGTCCCGGCTCCAAACAGCAGGGCGAGAGGCTCAGTTACCTGCAATCAGCAGTGCTCCATCCGGATCCTCCGGAGAGAGGCCTGCTCTCTGCTTCGTATGCTTTTCTCTCTTGCAAAAGTCTATAGGAAGGGCAGTAATGCAAGGCCCAGATGTCTTATACCTTTACAGATAGGAAGGCTCATGAATATTTGCCTACCCCAGTCCAAGCCGTGACTGAGAGACGCCAAGTGTCGACACGTCCCAGTGCAGCAGATCAGGGTAAGCAGTCTCCGCTAGCCAATTCTTGGTTTAAATCCTGTCTGTCCTTCATTCCTTCTCCTCTCTCCCCATACCTCATGTAGATCCCTTCAGCCCATCTTCCTCTGGGAGCCTTAGCGTGGGCCACATATTGTGCCAATCCACCTTCTGGTTGGCGCACCCTCTGGAGCAGTGATTCTCAACCTTCAGCCCAATCAGAGCTGCGGCCCATGTGACATCCTCCAGGCCATACAGGTAGTATTGGATGCAGCCCACGTAACACGTTCTTGCGGCCCACAATGGTAAATAGGTTGAGAACCACTGCTCTGGAGTGTACCAGTACTGCTCCA